CAACAGGTTATTCTTCAAGTAAGCACAGCATGATTCAAAGAGTCAAGAAACAGTATTTAAAATATGATATTTTACGTGAATATACAGTGATTCCACAAGTACAAAACCTCAGGAACTTTTAATCGTAGGTTCACGGGGGCACTTGGGGTCTCCTCCCTTTCCGGGTGTATGTAACAATACAACAAGAGTAGTAGAAAAAATTGGGGCATGATTTTTTTTCAGTAGAAAATATTTTGGGGCCGATTTGTTCATTAGGCCTGATTGAAGGAACTTCAACATTTTTGTGCGATTCTCATATCGGGCAGACACAGACAAGTCTAACTTGGAATAGAAAAAGTAATCTCATTGGAAAAAGAGACATTTAGCCTGGACATTTTAGCCTCTTTCCCAAAGGCCAAACTGAAATAAAAATGAATCTCTCAATCTTGCACTGCCTCTCACATAGGAACACAGCAGCCCATCCACTGCCTGGACAGTGGACTCTACAGCAGCTGCTTCACGTTCATTGGTGACCAGTTGGCTAAATCTCAACAAGGGAAGGGAGTCACTCAACAGGAGACAACAAGGGAAGGAGTCACTCAACAGGAGACAAGGGAAGCAGGCACTCAACAGGAGACAACAAGGGAAGGGGTCACTCAGCAGGAGACAACAAGGGAAGGAGTCACTCAACAGGAGACAAGGGAAGGAGTCACTCAACAGGAGATAACAAGGGAAGGAGTTACTCAACAGGAGACAAGGGAAGGAGGCACTCAACAGGAGACAACAAGGGAAGGGGTCACTCAGCAGGAGACAACAAGGGAAGGAGTCACTCAACAGGAGACAAGGGAAGGAGTCACTCAACAGGAGATAACAAGGGAAGGAGTTACTCAACAGGAGACAAGGGAAGGAGGCACTCAACAGGAGACAACAAGGGAAGGCGTCACTCAACAGGAGACAACAAGGGAAGGAGTCACTCAACAGGAGACAACAAGGGAAGGGGTCACTCAACAGGAGACAAGGGAAGGAGTCACTCAACAGGAGACAACAGGGGAAGGGGTCACTCAACAGGAGACAAGGGTAAGAGTCACTCAACAGGAGACAACAAGGGAAGGAGGCACTCAACAGGAGACAACAAGGGAAGGAGTCACTCAACAGAAGACAACAAGGGAAGGAGTCACTCAACAGGAGACAACAGGGGAAGGGGTCACTCAACAGGAGACAACAAGGGAAGGAGTCACTCAACAGGAGACAACAGGGGAAGGGGTCACTCAACAGGAGACAACAGGGGAATGGGTCACTCAACAGGAGACAACAAGGGAAGGAGTCACTCAACAGGAGACAAGGGAAGGAGTCACTCAACAGGAGACAACAAGGGAAGGAGGCACTCAACAGGAGACAACAAGGGAAGGAGTCACTCAACAGGAGACAACAAGGGAAGGAGGCACTCAACAGGAGACAACAAGGGAAGGGGTCACTCAACAGGAGACAACAAGGGAAGGGGTCACTCAACAGGAGACAACAAGGGAAGGAGTCACTCAACAGGAGACAACAAGGGAAGGGGTCACTCAACAGGAGACAACAAGGGAAGGGACTCACTCAACAGGAGACAACAAGGGAAGGGACTCACTCAACAGGAGACAACAAGGGAAGGGGTCACTCAACAGGAGACAACAAGGGAAGGGACTCACTCAACAGGAGACAACAAGGGAAGGGACTCACTCAACAGGAGACAGCAAGGGTAGGAGTCACTCAACAGGAGACAACAAGGGAAGGGACTCACTCAACAGGAGACAACAAGGGAAGGGACTCACTCAACAGGAGACAACAAGGGAAGGGACTCACTCAACAGGAGACAGCAAGGGTAGGAGTCACTCAACAGGAGACAACAAGGGAAGGGACTCACTCAACAGGAGACAACAAGGGAAGGGACTCACTCAACAGGAGACAGCAAGGGTAGGAGTCACTCAACAGGAGACAACAAGGGAAGGGACTCACTCAACAGGAGACAACAAGGGAAGGGACTCACTCAACAGGAGACAACAAGGGAAGGGGCTCACTCAACAGGAGACAGCAAGGGTAGGAGTCACTCAACAGGAGACAACAGGGGAAGGGGTCACTCAACAGGAGACAACAGGGGAAGGGGTCACTCAACAGGAGACAAGGGTAGGAGTCACTCAACAGGAGACAACAAGGGAAGGAGTCACTCATCAGGAGACAACAAGGGTAGGAGTCACTCAACAGGAGACAACAAGGGAAGGGACTCACTCAACAGGAGACAGCAAGGGAAGGGACTCACTCAACAGGAGACAGCAAGGGTAGGAGTCACTCAACAGGAGACAACAAGGGAAAGGAGACACCAGCTTCCGAGAGGTCACAGCTAAGACGTCGATCTAAAACACCAGCTCGCGAGTGGTACCAGAGTCTGTCTGTTCACAATTTCACTTTCCGGTCCGTATTTGTGTTTGCAGCTCTAGGTGTCTACCAGACGTATCCAGCCTTTTGATACTGCCACACAAAATCACCGATCAACAAATTTCACACTAGAGAATGGTGCAATTCTGTTACAAAAATCACAACGCAGAAGTCTCATAGCATGTTCTAATTTGCGTTCTATGACCCAAAAGCCAGGCAGAAAGAAGAGGGTTTGTTTTATATGCACTTCAGTATTCATAGTCCATCACTGAAGCAATCCAAAATAGGAAGTCAAGGCAGGAAAACTCAGAGGCAAGAACTGAAGCACAGGCCACACAGGAAGGCTACATACTGCCAACTGCCAGGTTCATTTTCAGCTCCCTATACCACCCAATACCACCTGCCCAAGGGGGCGCTCCCCACAGTATGTTGGGCCCTCCAGCAGAAATCATTGAGAAAATACCCCCTCCAGACTTGCCTACTGGCCAAACTAATGAAGGCATTTCTTCAACGGAGGGACCGTCTTCCAAGATGACTCTAGCTCATCTCAAGCTGACGAAAGACTGTCCAGTACACAATGTTTTAAATATGCTTATGGTTTTGTGTTGGGCGACGTTGATAACTCTCCTTACCTGCATAGAGCCAACAGGTCACAGTTTGGCATGGCTTAACCATTTTCTCTGATTTGGTTCTCAAGGATCATAAAATTTGTTGGTTGAATTTAATATATACAAATATACACATATATAGGTATATTTCAAATATGTATATATATATACATATATCTACTGAATTGCTTCTCACCTTTCTTTTTATAACAGATATCATCGATTCTTGGGCTAAATGAAGAAATTTGTGTTAAATATCCTTGGAACTATTAAAGTCTATTTAGACTTAACAACATACATCTCAGTTGAGGTTGTCAGAAAACTGTGGAAAATTCAGAATTACCAGACACATTTCCCAAACTGTCTCAAAGACAGGAAATGATGAGGGGAAAAAGCTTTAATTAAAATGCTTACACACCATTGAAATAGCATTAGATATCAGTCTGCCACAAAGTGAGGGGGCCGGCTTGCTGAGCTATAACTGGAAAACTGCTAAAATAATAGCATTTAAAGTAGCCAAATACCTTCCATTATCTGTTCTCTCCCTCTCCCTCCCTCTCTCTCTCTCTATTTCTCTCTCATATGTGTTTGGCAGACTGCATTTGCTTTATCTTAATTTAGAGCCCCTTCTTAACAGGACATTATTAGCCAATCGCTTCCCCCCTCACATTCTGACTGAGGAGGACCCATTTCTCTCCCTGCACTTAAGGAACTGGATGTTACTTTGTTCGTTTCTCTAACATTTGCCAGAGAGGAAATAGGTCACCAGAAAATTTATTTGTATCCCTGCCCTGATTCCTCTACATTTTCAAGGATGGGCTGAGGTTCCCCTCCTGCCCAGCTCCAACCCCACTTTCCTAGGACTGTTGCTGGCACAACAGTTCGCTCTCAAGCCTTGAATTCCTTCTGAATTGAATACAGCTGCTTCCATGACGCTTCTTGTTTTCTGAAAACTCATAGGAAAGTGTTACCACCGTTTCTAAGAGGGACAGTTTGTAAAATACAAACTTAATTATATATAATTTATAACCCAAAATATGTATAAATATATGTATTAACTCAATTAAGATTGAGGATAAAATACTCAGAAATTATAAATCATTGTTAAAGCTATCCTGTAATTCAATTAGGCACCACCTTGTTGTGCTGGCTTTATTTGTTCAAGGAATAATATACTGCTAGGATCAAAATTAGAAATGCTAATTAATGCTAATTAAATTTATTAATGAAAAGTATATATGTATCCATTCACTATTTCCTAGTGAGAATAAATGCAGTGTTGGCTTATAGCTTAATGTGTGGGATATTAAGCTAATCACACTAACAGCTCCAGCGTTCCTGACCTGTGAAACTGTGGGTTTGTTCAAAGTTACCTACTTATTTAACTTCTCTAACATGCACACGGCTATAAGTTTTATACAAGCCACACATATATGGCGTTTTTATCTTCAACACCTGACTGTTTTCAACCTGGCTCCTGGGCAAAATGCCTAATGCATGCTTTTAACATTGATGCTCTTTATGTATGTATGTATGTACGTACGTATGTATGTATGTGCATATGTATGTATGTATATACATGCATGCGTGTGTGTGGTATACCTGCCCAAAGGTAGCACTCCCCACAGTATGTTTTTTATATATTTTATATATAAAATATATTTGTAATTATATGTATATAATTATATATTAATATAATAATTATATATAATTTTATGTATAAAATATATAGTTTATATATACAGTATTGTGTATATATAAAATGAAGGTATATGCATCATTTTTTTAAGGAAGGTACAACACCATGAACATTATAAAATAATTTTATATCTGCCAAAACCATAATCAATGAACTCATAGAACAATGAACTGAAATGTATTAATGATACCATTAAAAACAATAATGGATGGAATGACAAAAATTGACCCAAGGAGCAATTAACGAAGCAAAATCACAGCCTGTGACAGACTTGTATTTTTTTTTTTTTTTTTTTTTTATTATTTATTTTATTATTATTATTATTATTTTTTTTACAAAAGTTTACTACAATGTACAACAGGCTCCAGGATAACACTTCATTTTAACTATAGGTGGCAATGATGTTATAGTAGGGGATCCAGATGTTTAACAGGTTCCAGGATAACACTTCATTCTAGCTGTAGATGGCAAAGATGTTATGGCAGGGAATCCAGATGTTTAAATAGGAATGGAAGAGGGTCACCATCATCTCAGATATGAGGAACAGCTTACTTTTTGCCAGATTTCTTAATTCCACCTGTGGCCAGGGGTCCCTTCCCCGCGGCCTTGGCTTTTAGCTCCTCGAGTTTCTTCTGCTCCTCTTTTTGTTTCTGCTTGAAAGCCTTATCTTCCTCGTCCATTTCCTTGGCCTGCTTCTTGGGCTGTTTCAGGGGCTTCTTTTTGCCACCTTCCCGGCCCGACATGGCTCCTCCAGACACCCCCTTCTCCAGACCCTGATCCTAAACCAGACTTGTATTTAAAGTAAACGGTACGCAAACTGCACTACTTCCACCAAATGAGTTTCCGTAAAGCAAAGTCCTAACACAGAAACCATCTGCCAGTCTTAAAGTCGCTCGTGTGCTACACATACACACACACACACACACACACACACACACACAATATCTGGCTTACTGAAGATGAGCAGCCTAAGGCCACATGCGTTACACTCAGTGTCCCCTCCAGTCCGCCACTTGCCCCCACATACACTGCTTCCACTGATTGTTAGGAAAACTCTTGGAGTTAGGTAAGAGAGTGAATCTGAATACATTTTATTAATGAGGAAATAGAGACTCATTTACTGGCATGCTCAAGGATCCATGACCACCACAAAGGCTAAGTCGCATCTGACCCGACACACATATAAAAGAGCTGATACTGGAAGAAACCAGTATCAAACGAATAAATGGGGGGAAACATCTCCAACCTATAACTGTGGACAGCAAAATATCAAGTATTAATTTGTGGGAAGCAAAAGCAGCAATCAGTGTTAAAAGCACGCGCCAGGCATTCTCTCCTGGAGCCAGAGTGAACACAGTGTCGAGTACTGAAAGGAGAGACACATTGATTCCACCTATTAGAGCCTCTGAGTCACCCTGGGAGACATATGTGTCCCGAATGTTTACAGTAAAAACGCCTTCCCCGAGCAGTTGCCCATTAAGCGCTAATAATGCTAACAGCCCCGGCGTTCCTGACCTGATTCTACATGACCAGGGTGGTGTGAGTCTCTGTGAAACCGGGGCTTTCACACACTCATAGTGACCTACGTCAATCTACAGTCAACGGCGTCATCATCTCAAAAATGCACAGATATTCATATTTTCATTCTTTATAATTCTATCATTTTCTTTTAAAAGAATAGAGGAAATAGTTCTTAAAGTAGTCTCCTTTTTCACTAATCTTTAAAAGCCTCATAGGTCCTCTATTAACTGGTAAGTGTACCTGGCAAAAATCGTGCCATTCATCCATCACAGGTTTTCCAGGCCTGGAAGAGACCCGCGGGGATTATGCCAGAAAGGAGTACAAGAAGAAACACAAGCGACTGGCTTAGCTTAGTATACAAACACTGGAGAAACTACCTAGACACAGAGTCTGCACACAGCCTACTACTGGGAATTTACGCTATAAGACAAAGTAACAGTGTGTGTATCAAAATCCTAAGCAGGAAAACTACTTGTTCAGCTCATTTGTTGCTTGGCACTAAGTTACCTAAGATTTTGAATTACATTTCTAACAAATTTACTATAACTTATCATTAAAAAATACTGCTCATTAGTTAAACATAGATTTTTAACTCTGAGGGGGGAAAAAGCAACACTGTTTTCATGTATGTCAATATACACATGAATAGTAATTCATGTGTACATATGTATTACAATACATATTAGAATTACATCTAAGAACTTCAGCATAAGCATTTAAGACTAAATACTGTGAGACATTATTTTTAATATATCATTTAAACTACATTGTTATAAAATTGTATTATATGAAGATAGGACCCAGCAGGATTCTGAGAACGAAGCCATGACTGCGGCCAGAGAGAAGCTGAGAGAAGGGTAGCATCTGGGGTAGTCGGCCCGGCCTGAAGTTTGCTGGAAATGGGAGGCTTGAAGCAATAGCACCGCTTTGTCTCTGAGGCCCGGGAGCTTGAAGTCTGAATTGTCAGCACGCCATGCTTCCTCGTGCAACTCCTGGTCCCTTAACTTCTACTCACGACTTGGCCTGCGGTGTTGTGACTCAGTGTTCCCATGCGCTATCTCTGTGTGCGTACCCCAAAATAGCCCCTCCTAGAACACCACGCGTCTCCTGGGAATAGGAACCACTGTACTGTAGTATGGCATGATCCTGACTAATTACATTTCCAAAGAAAACTCCTTTCCCAAATAAAACCATTGGTGTAGGAGGGTCTTCTTTCTATGTGTTGCTTTCATTGGTTGAATGAAGAAACTGCCTAGGCCTTTTGATAGGGCAGCCCTCAGATGGGCGTGGTAGACAGAACAGAATTCTGAGAGGATGAAGGCAGTGTGGCAGACGCCATGGCTCTCCTCTCCAAGACAGATGCTGGTTAGCCACAGTCAAGTGGTGATACACATTAATGGGGATGGGTTAAACAAACATGTAAGAGTTAGCCAAGAAGAGGTGAGATATAATGGGCCAGGGAGTATTTAAATGTATACAGTTTCCATGTAATTATATCGGGTGTAAACTAGCTACAAACCCTGTTCACACAAGAGGAATGATGGTATCACAAAAATCTTAGAGGAACCAGGTCAACTAGTCAGGTCATCAGAATGGACTAGCTCTTGGTCCCAGAAGGAATACCACATTAGGGTCGTTCTTGACGTTAGCCTGATGTCTTGTTTGTGAAATTTATGGCTGTTTAAAGTTCTTAAACTCCTAGTGGAATAATATGAAATATACTAATTATTTCCTTGATGGGGAAGCCTTGTTAACCAGTTATCTTAAAAGAGGTGGGACCACGTTAGGGTGTGGTTTTCTGGGACCCAGGGAAAAATGGCATGCGACCAAGGTGTGCACTCTCTCTCTGTGGTTCCCTCGCAGCACAGCTGAGCTTGGACTTCTCGTTCCTGTTTCATGAGTTTTCCTCTTACAATAAATAAAAATATAATCATTTTATCTTTTAGATAGCCTGGTTATCTCCCAAATTGAGTTAACTTCTACATTTCCTTTCTTACCATATGTAAAAGAAAGCCTATCAGAAATAAAAAGAAGTGATTCTCCATCGGTGTGGTTTGTTAGCGTTAACCTATCAGCACTGCAGACATACTGAAGAGTGCTTCACAACCGTGCCGCGCACACACTGATGGTCTATACGGTGGACTGACACGGTGTGTCAGCACATGGTATACGGTAATGTGATAAACCAGAAAACCACCCACGCTGAGGAGATGGTTCCCGCATTGACGTCTTTAACTTGCGCTATCCTGCACACTTCTGCAGGGGAACTGGCATTACTAGCAATTAGGTTCAACAACGGGCCAGAAGCCAAGAGTCTATTAGTCATGCCTAATATGGGGCAAACCAGGGCGAGAGTGAACAGAAATAAATGGAGTCGGTGCAAACAGACTTTATCGTGTCTAGGCGTAGTAGGGAACGAAGATGCAGCGATCACTCTGTTCAGATGTGAATGTTGAGAATTACAAAAGAAAGGAACACACTAAAGGGAGGCTCTTCCTAGCCTTGCTATGGATCAATCTTAATAGACCGGATCTCAATAAAGCAGTGTAAAGGAGACTCTGGGTTCCCACCGCCCCTCAGGCAGCCGCCGCATTCTCTGCTCGCCAACACGGGCAGTGTGCGCTGAGGACCTCCACTACCACTCTTGCCTCTCTGTGCTGCAGCTGTTTGTGTCTCGCTGTCTGCAAAGAGAACGCGGGTTCTCCTTTTATAGAAAATACATACGAGCAGAAGCACCTGGCACTCCTGTCCTCACCAAGTGTTTTGGTTCATCCATTCAGGCCAGCCTTGCACAGTGTCAAAGGCCACATATATGACAACATCGTACCGCGACACACCAACCTCCATGAGAAGCCTAGTCTGCCCCTATAGAACTCTTACATTGCGAGTATCTCGTAATCGTTCCCTTCAGAAACAATGGGGCCATTTCAGCCGAGGAAGTCTTCATTGGTCTGTTCTGCCATTTTCCCCAGGGAAACAAACACCCTTAACCAGAGTGTGTGTCCATGTTAATTACAATTTGCCCACAGGCCACCCTGGCCACTGTCCAACCTCCTGGAATCTACAAAGCGTTTGATGCACGGCGCACAGGACAAAGTAGATGGATGGTATCATTTGTTTCAAACCCAAGGGGGAAGAACAGACACCAGCACCCTTCTGCTAATGCCATGTTTCGCTGCAAAACTCCCCTCCAGGAAATCCGCAATCTCCAGGAACAGGCGACTTTGACCTTTGTACCCTGGACATTGTGTGACAGACAGCTTTTCCTGCATCACCAAGCACCAAAATTAACTGTGTAATGTGGAAAACATGTTGAGCTAACAGGTAGGCTGCTACCTGTTATAACAGCATATTTATTAAAAGGAATTAATAACAAACTCAATGACCTGCCAAGGAACCTGTCTTAGGTAGGATTTCCATTGCTGTGAAGAAGCAAACACCACAACCAAAAAGAAAGTTAAAGAGAAAAGGGTTCATTTGGCTTCCACGTCCACATTATACCATATCATTGAAGCAAATCAGGACAGGACTCAAACATGGCAGGATCTCAGAGACACGAGCCACGGAAGGGTGCCCCTTACTGGCTTGCTCCACATGGTTGTCTCAGCCTGCTTTCTTATAGAACCCAGGACCAGCCCAGGGATGGTGCCACCGACAGTGGGCTGGACCCTCCTCCCATTAATCACTAATTAAGAAAATGCCGCACAGCTGCATCTTACTGGGGAATTGTCTCAACTGAGATTTCCCCCTTTCAGATAGCTCTTGTGACCAGTTGACATAAAATTCTCCAGGACAGAATAGAAACACAGTATCAGGATTGTGGGCCAGAAACAGACACCACTGGCTACAGGGATGCATCTAACAATCCCAGTAAGTGTGAAAAGTCAAGCAGACATGTATAGTCAAGAAAATCCTACAGGGAGTTTCAACTGGGATAATTTTGTCAGCTGGGGAACTGACAAGTTCTAGAGACGTGTTTGATGGTCCTGACTTGAGCAAAGAGACCATAGGCACTGACTGAGTAGAGGCCGCAATTAACACCTAATATTTTTACTATTAGCTGGGTAGTAGTGGTGCACACCTTTAATCCCAGCACTTGGGAACCAGAGGCAGGTGGATCTCTGTGAGTTCAAGGCCAGCATGGTCTACAGAGCCAGTTCCAGGACAGGCTCCAAAGCTACAGAGAAACCCTGTCTCAAAAAGCCAAAAAAAAAAAAAAATTAAAAAAAAAATCTTTTTGCTATGAATGAAGAGAG